TTTTCCTTTTTCAAAACTGTCTTGTTTAATCCATTCTGTTTTTCCTTGCCCAGAAAGATCTGAAGATAAAGAAGTCACATTTGGACACAAATCATGGAATATTGTTTTCATTGATTCAGTATTCAGCCCATTAGTTACACATACATCTTGTGAAAATTGATCTAAAATGTGATGATGTATTCCAGGCTCACGACAACAAATCAATGCCAACAAATAATTTTTCTCATGTTTACACATCAATCTGATAAATTTAACCAAGTTATATTGTAATTCAAAATCTAATAATTCTAAATTTGCTATGCAAAACAAATGATCTTTATGCCCATTATTTGCTGCAAAAAAACAACGCTTAATAAAATTTGTTAATTCTTCTGAGGTTGTTAAAGGTGTGCATATTAAAAGTTGCCATGGTTCAGGGCATGATCTGTGATTAGCATATAATGACATAATGATATTTGGAACATGTAATTCCTCATCACAAGCTGCCACAAATAATTTGCCATTAAGTACAACATCTGATATTACACAATCATCTATATTTTTGACCTGACGAATTTTTTTAGGAAGTTTTTCAAAAATAAGTTGTAATTTTTTACCAATTTCACAGAGGATATCATAGTAATTATTCTTTTTAGAAGAAATCCCCATGATCTTTTTATCAGAAGGTAATTCAGCTCTTCTATTTACAAATCGAATAAGTATTTGACATTCTTCAATCACATTAGGATTGTTGACATTTGAAAAATAATCATAGAATGTAAGGATGTGTCGGCCAGGGAAAAATGTTAAATAGTAATGATTTTCTTGTGCTTTGTTCATGATATCCTCCCTATTATATTATTTATAAATGATAATTATTAAGCAAGTTTATATATAACTATATAACCATTGATTTACATACCATTCTCTTAATTTTTCTTTACATTGTTTTAATAATTCTTTCATTTTATCTGTTCCCTTTACAGTCACATCAAATTTCCTGAATTCAAAATGTCCAATTTGTACAAGTTTTGATGAAAAATTTATTATATCCTGAGCCACATCAACTTGTTCAACAAACACATCCATGGAATTTTTAATATTTTGATCATCTTCCAATACATTCTCAACTGATAGATTAAGGTTTACCACAGTTGGTTTTGCAATCAATAATGCATGGCCACGTAAATCTTGAAGATCATTAAAGGTGTAAGATGATTTTTGAACTTTGTCAGATGTGTATGTCATTAATGCATTACATTTATCTCCGTTAGCATCTCTTTTAAAAGTATAAGATCCTTTCATCACAGCATTTTTGATTTTCTCCTTAGTTACTTCATTTTTTTGATCAATATTTTTATACATATTTTCTAATGCCATACAATTATTATTACACAAAACAATATTATTGGTTAGCTTTGGATTTTTTACAATAACCTTTCCAATTTCTTCAACAAACTCTTTCACTGATCTCTTTTTGGCAACATCCAACAGTGGTATTAAAAATTTTTTCACTTCAATTAATGATGAAACAGTGTCTTCCTGGATAAGTTGTTCATCTGGGTGGTCATCTACACTATTGATTAAATTTTTAATATCATGTCCTTCAATTGATTTGAGAAATGTTACAAATGTGCCTGCTTCTGATAATTCTTTGATTAAATTCCAACATTCATTACTAATTTTAAATTCTGTATTGAATTTATTAAAGAAACTTATTAAAACACCTAATGACAATTTCCCTTCATTCAAACTGTTATAAATAATTCCAATTTGGTTTTCTTTATCATGTGAATCTTGAAAAATTTTAATGACTTGATCCAAATTTTTCAACCCTTCTTTATAATTAGATATTTGAGTAAGATACCAAATTGTTTCTTGGAATTTTCTCTCTTTAGGTAATCGCTGAAAATTTTCCATCAACTCAAGTTCTGATTTTATATCTTTAACATCTTTCCAAAAATCACCAGCATCTGAGCATGATAATTTTTCCCAATTTTTGTATCCTTTACATGATTTTTCATATTCCTCAAATGTTTTAGGAATTAGCTTAGTAGCTAAAATTTCAACTGTTAAAGGTGTGGTTTCATCTTTTTTTAAGATTAACTCAAAAATATTTTTAAAGGTTTGAGAGTTTCTATATCTATAAACAGATTCTGCAACTTTTGAGATTTTATCATGGTATACCCAATGATCAGGTTGTAAAATATCATTAAATTTAATTTTTGTTAAAGATTTCATTTTCTCTTCCAAATTATTAATATAATCATGTACATCAGTTACTTTTTCACTTTGACAAAATCCAATATAGAATGTACTAAGACAATCCAACTTATGTTCATAATTTTTGCCTTCTTTTTTAACATTATCTAGTATGGTTTTTGTCATAATAACTGATGAACCAAATTTTTTATCAGTAGTTGCAGAATTGAAAAGTTGAATAAAACTTTCATCATTGTCAACAATTAATTTTTTCAATAGTGAGAAATTAATATTTCCATCTGAAATTAATTCTGCTAATTTGTTAATTGACTGTTTATAATGTAAGACTAGCTCATGTGAATGCAGACATTCAATTGACCCAGTTGCATTAAATATCATTATCCAAAATTCTTTAGATTGAAATAAATTGACATAATATTCAGAGTCATTATTTAAAGTAGTTTGACTTTGTAATTTTTTCATTATAAAGAGCATTATAAGTTCACATAATTGATTTGGAATGTTGAGTTTTTTATCACCTTTTTTACATCCACAAACTTTTCGAATCTTTTGAATTAATTGTTGGTTGGGACTTATTGATGATTTTTCTAAAGTTTCTTTCACCACATGAAAATATCTTGTATAAATTTGTTCTGGAAATTTAGTGATTGAACATGTTGCTTTATAAATAGCATTTTCTGATGATTGACTTACTCTTTTGACTGCACAATCTACCAAAGAATTAAAAATATTGATCCTAACACCAATTGTAGAATAAATATCAGATAAGATACTAAATACAATTGTAATAAATTTAACTTCATCAGAATACATGGCTTTATTTTGATGAGTAATATCTATAATTTGTTCAAACCATTGATTACAAATTTGCAAAATTTTTGATTGTTTGATGTTGTTATAAGTTTTAAAACAGTGTTCCAATGGTTCAGGAAAAGCTTGTAATAAAGACAAATCTGTTGATCTAGAGATATTATCAAGTGCATTAAGAAATTCTTCTTTGTCCCATTTAAATTGTTTCAAAAGGAGCATTAGAGATTTAATCTGCTCACTTCCCCATTGTTTTCTTGAATTTTTCAACATGCTTAAACATCTTTGAGAAAATATTCCAAAATGTTTAATTTGCATTTCTTCAGGAAGAGCTACGATTTGTTGATACAATTGATGTGGGTTGTCTTGAGAAAGATTATTTTTGGTACTGTCAAAGAATATTTGTTGAAGTCTGTCTGTTTTGTGAATAATTATATTATCCCACATTGTTAATAAAGTTGGCATATCATTACATAATTGTAAAAAATGCTATATATAATTATTTATAAAAAACAGAATTAACATAAGAATTTTTATTAAGATATATTATATATTAAAAAAAAATTTAATAATAATTACCTCAGCTATTTTCACATAAATATCTATATCCTCGATATTATCAATATATGGTTTGACATGTTCCTCAACATTTTTAATAAACAACTCCATACCTCTTGATTTATATTTTCCATCAAGAACATCAAGAAAGCCATGTTTTGGATCAATAACATCAGCAACAGAAAATATTTTCAACCATTCAAATGAACCATTGATAAAATTATGTCTGATTAAAAGATTAACTGCTTGTTTTATAATATCATTAGTGTTTGATGGAAAAGTATTATCATATACAGTTGTCAAAGAATCAATTAATGTGCTTGAGTCAAAGTCATTAGGCAACTCATAAAAATTGAACTTTGAAGTGTTTTTTCGCTCATTAATAAAATAACCAAGCAAAACACACAAGAAAAGTTTCTTTTCTCTTTCTTTACTAATTGGCATACACTCCTTAATAAAGTCAATTGTAGTAAAAGTGACAGTCAATTCACGATATTTTTTTAGTAGTTTTTGATATTCCATTACTTGATTTTTAAAATTTTCTTGTGTTACAGATCCATGTATAACTTTAATGAAACTAAAATCTCTAAATCCCTCATAAAATTTATGTGAATTGCTAGTATGCCAAACATCAAATTGGTTTTCAGTAAAATTTTCTAGAATTTGATCATCTGTTTCATCCAAACCCTCAAATTCAACACTTCTTCTTGATAACAATGATTTGCCAATTAATGCATATTTGTATCTGATTTGAATGTTGTCTTCAACATAACTGACAGGAAATTTAATTTCTTCTGACACCCAGTATGTTGTGGATTCTTGATGAAGCTTGATGATTGGGTCTTTCTGAGTGCCAAGTTCGGGCACATTACCAAGAATAGTAGGTGTTTCATGATAAGAAATATTTGGTGGTAGATGTAAATGAAACTTTGTTACAAAAAATCTTGTAGCCATGCTTCCTGATAACTTTCTAGAAGCGAATTTGCCAGATAAGTCATGATTTTCATCAATGAAATTTTATATATTAATATGTATTTTCCCGCGAAAATCATCCGCGATTTCCGATTTAATTTCTAAATATGTCCAATCCCCGGATTATTTTAAAAATGAGGTAACGTCCGATTATAAACCACTGGGTTTATTAATGATTGTCCAACTGTGAATTGTTTTTGTTCGTCATTACATTATATCAATGATAATAATGATGGACCGAAACTACCTTGCTTAGTAGGCAGAATTTGCTGAAATTAATTGACATAAACTTTGGCGAAACTAATTTAATGGCTGAAATTGGGAAATCGTTTTAAGTTTTTTAAAATAGTGTTTAAATTTTGGGGTGGGGTGTTTGGATACAAATTCTGATTGGCTAATTGAATTTCACGCGCGTGAATTTCAAGTTCACAGATTTTCAAAATCTTTTCCACAAGACAATAATGAGTTTCACCTTGTCTATAAAAATTGGCAGTCTAATAAATAATTAAGAACAACCAGAAGTTTTCACAGGCTCATTATTTACCACAATTCGGATTTGTCAAGAATAGAAGTCATGTTCGCCATTTTAGTATGACTCAGATTATCAGGAAAGAAGCAACTAAGCCTGACATCAAAATACCTTCATTTAGTGAATCAGCCTCAAAATTTGCTTCCGTTGAAGAGGAATCATTGAGAATTAAAGTTTACAAGAAAGATTCAATGCGTGATATATTAGAAGCAGGTAATAAAATTTGTGTTTAATAATAATTTAATATTTTATCATCGCATCTAAACAAAGCTAATCCTTCGATATTTAAAAAAGATATTGATCATAACATTATTCCAGAACTTCGAGATTATATCCTCGCGGAAATTAAAGATAGTGAATATGTAAAATGTTTCAGTACCTTAATTATCCAAGCTTAATAACAATCAAAAGAAGTTTCTTGGTAAACTCAACCGCATACTTATGAATGAGAATGTTCGAAAAGGTTTTGAAAAAGATGTAGATGAATTTGTGTTATTTTTGTGTGATCAAGAGAATTTTGATGATGGAGTGGATTTAAACTTGGGACCATGCACTTTAGAATTAGAACTTAACAAAAAAGAAATTGCAGCATATGCCGATATAAAAGGCAGAAGAGGCGCTGAAATAGTATGGGTGTTGTGTGAAGCTAAACATAAAGGATCCAGAAAATATAAAAAAGGGAAAATTCAGTTAGTGGTATGCTGATTGCAGCAGCTCAATGGAATTATTTCATGTTGGACAAAGTATATCCAGCAAAAATTGTGGGTATTAGAGTAATTGGAGGCAAGTTTTGTTTTTATTCACCTAATATCAATCAATCTTACCTCGAAGGTCTGCTGAGAGGTCTTTCCCGAAATGATTTACATGTTCACAAATATCCCAAAGGATATGGATTTTGTATTTCAAATGCTAATGAAAGACGAGAGGTGCTTGCATGTTTATCTGATCTCAAACATTATGCATTAAGTCTTTCACCAAGGTTGGATAAATATTCTGAAAAGAATTTAATGTGGCTAGCTCTTTTTGACGGTTTGTAATTTTTATAATTACCTTAGGATATTACTATCAATAAAATAGACTCTTAGTCTATCATGATCACATTGTTCATTGTGTGTTTGAGGTGCTTATATCACATACAAACCTACATATTCTTAAAAACTCAAAACCCAATTTTGGTGAAAACTTTATTAATTTCAATGATATAATGTGTTGATATGTGGTATACGCATTGGTATGGAGGGTGATAACAGTTACTTGTAAAAGATATTAAAGAACACTTCAACAAACCTGAGAAAAAACATATTCACATTACTGTATTGTCAAACCGCCTGGTTCCTCTGGTGTGTTTGTAAGCGAATCTCACAAGGCATTACAAATCAAGTATTGAGCAGAAGACAGAACTGCGTTTGAACAATATTTTTCTACTGATTATACAAATTATCATTATGTGAAGTTGGTGAACGGAAGTTGTAAAAGAGATTATAACAATAAAACTATATTTTTGTGATTTTGACCAATTTGCATTCCATACATCCATCTATTGGAATGGTTTTATACTATTGCAACCTTGACCAACTTTGGCTTTTTTATTTCTTTTATTTCTTTCCATTGGCATCAAATTAGTTAAGATTCCTCATATCTTTCACAAGTTACAATCACTGAAATTCATGAAATGCTCTGTTTCAAATAAAAAGCAACCTGGTACTATCAAGCAGTAGTACAAGAAAAATTTTTCTTACAGAATAAGGACACTTATGTGTCTGACTTGGTAGAACGTAAAAGC